GCGCGTACCTCCGCACGTTTGTATTTTCTGCACTGCGCCTCCTCTGAGTCTCGTATGCTGTTCTCTTTCCTTCTAGTTGAAGAATTTCCCCTCAGCCAGCTTTCCTGTGGTTCTGGGTGATGTCCCTTCCGTCTTTTAGTTATATTTTTGAAGTGGTTGTTCGAGGCAGCAAACTCCGGTGTTTACCTATGCCGCAGCAATGGATTAAGCATGTTGATTGCTTCTAGCCAATTCATTGGTTCTGTAGGCGAGGAACATTAACTTTTTCTCTACTCTTCTGAGTTCTTAGCTGAGAACCCTGTTATAAAAGTCAGATTAACAAGAGAAGAACAAACAGAAGTTTATTAACATGTATACCTCATATATACTACATGGGAGATACTCAGTGAAAAATGAATAACTCCAGGGGTGGCTTAGAATTCAGGCTTAAATACCATGTTAATAGGGAAAGGGGTCTCTTAAGGGAGAGTAAATGATTTTTAGAAAACATAACTGGGCCCTTATAAGAATAGATGAGAACTATGATAGTTTGTGACAAAGTTTGTCTGAGTATGTTGTTGACTTCTAGGCTCTTCTGTGACAAGAGTCAATCTTCCCTGGTTGATGAAACTCTGGGGAGGGGATTTATGACCTTCAGTTCCTATTGGAGGATCCATCTTCAGGCAGATAAAGAGAGTGCTGAGGAAGCCTCTCCCTGCATTTGATGTTTTTCAAGTGCCTGCAGCTCAAAATAATCAATACACCAAAGGGGCATATTTTGGGGCAGCATATTCTATTACCCTTCAGTTCAAAAGTATTTGGAAGAATGTTTGGAAGAATGTTTCAACTAGAAGGACTGAGGAAAGTCCTTCTAGTTGAAATGGTTTGCTCTTTTCTTGTAAATATCAAATTATAATGTTTTATTTATAAGAAAATATATCAACCCTATACTTAATACTTTTTTTTCCTGGTTTGTATTATTCTTATGTCTTTTTCAGACCTCCCATTAGTTTTAGGGGCAGTCTCAGAGATAAATTCCTTCCTTACAGGTTAGCAAGGATATCAGGAGCAAAACAGCAAATCTTCTCAGCTCCACCCACTCAGCGGGGTGTTTTCCAGCCTCTTTCCTCTCTCCTACCTCAGCCGACTGATATTTGCAACCTCCCTATTCTAATTCCCCTCCTGCAAGGGGGATAAACAGTGGAGATTAAGTTAGATGTTAAGGGGCAGGAGTGGTGAAAGTGAGATAGAAGGAGAGAAGGAAAAGGACAAGGGAGGAAGGTAGACTCACAGTCTTTCCTTCCTCCCCTTCAATAATGGGGCTGGGTGATAATGGTCCCTGACCCTTGTTCCATCTCTTGACCTCCTGCTTTGCCTAGCTCACTACTGGGCCCTGCATCCCTTGTCATTGAGGGCTCACGCTCCTCTCAGATCTCGGATGATAGCCTGAGCCTGGGCAGGTAATTCTCAGTTCAGTCCTTTGTGGAGAGACGTCTCCACCAGCATCTCTGAGCTCAGAGACATTGGGAGCCCTTTCATTCTGCTCATTCCCCACCCAAGAGCTGTGTTTGCCTTGGGGACTGGTAAGGAGTGACAAAGTCTTAAGAATATATCTTATTTCCTCAAAAGGGAAGAGAAACATCTGATCAGCTGCAACAAGCATGTCAGTGAGGAGGAATGGAGATGAGGAGAGAATCCCTTTTTCTACTCCCAGAAGCACTTGTTTTGGAATTTGGTCTAATGCCAGACACTCATCAGCCATGGACCTTTCTTCTCAGGTCATTAGCTCAGGATCCCTACTCCTCCATCCAGCAGAGCTCCCCAGTACTCTCCTATGCAGAATCAGCCAAACAAAAAATTAAGTCACTTTCAACCCCACGGTGAACTTGAACTCCAAAAGCTCTTTAGTAGAAAAAAGCTGCAATTGCCATTTTATTTTTTTGCTGTTCACCATGAGCTATGCATTATTTTGGTAGTGCCATTCCCAAGCTGGCTTCTTAATTGACAAAGTAAAATAAGGATTTTGTTAGGGCAGTTCAGAGGAATGTGGGAGTATGTTTTAATTTACTCTATCCTTTTACTACATTATATTAAAGTCCTGAGAAGTGACTTTTAAACCATTGAAATTTATCTTTTCTTCCTGTCTAGCATTTCAAAATCCTAATATTAATGAGGCATACATTTTACTTGAAAAACTTAAAACATCATTAAGCACACAACCTGTCTGAAATCTGACTTTAGGTTTATTCATATGGATTGTCATTGTGTTTGGACCAAATGTTTCACAACTACTAATTCTCATAGTGAATTAGGTATGGAACATGCTACATTCTGAGAATATACGGCTTCTTTAGCAGTGGTTATGTTAGAAGAAAGTTTCTTCCATAACATATGAAATATGTACTGTATACCTATTCCTTCTGATTCAGCTTTATTTCATTTTTTATTAAGAAACTAGAGGCCGAGTGCATGAAATTCATGCACTGGTAGGGCCACTACCACCTGGGGTCTCCTTCCCTTCCCGCAGCCAGCCCCACACCCTGGTCGAACTCCCAGAAGAACTCCTGGTAGAGGGGACAATTTGCATACTATGCTTTTATTATATAGGATAAGTCAACTAATTTAAAGGAGATTAGATATAATTGTGCCTAAATTTTATTGTTTCTAAATGTTCTGTATTTTATTTATTTATTTTAAATCTATCTTTATTGTTGAGAGTAATAAAGATGACCCCCTTTTAAAACCTTATTGTTCTCCTCCACTTGGTTTCCACCCCACCCTAGGCTTTTACCACCCTATTGTCTTTGTCCATAGGCCATGCATATATGCATGTAAGTTCTTTGGTTAATATTTTCCCACCCACCCCAATTTCCTCTGAGATTAATCAGTCTGCTTCATGTTTCCATGCCTCTGGTTCTATTTTATTGATCATTTTATTTTGTTTTATTCATTTATTTTGATTTTTAGATTCAATTCTTGATAGATATTTATTGCCATTTTATTGTTCATAGTTTCTTCTTCCTCTTCCTCTTCTTTTTTTTAATATATTTTATTATTATTATTGTTATTTTTTACAGAGAGGAAGGGAAAGGGATAGAGACTTAGAAACATCGATGAGAGAGAAACATCGATCAGCTGCTCCCTTGTAGGTAACTAACTGATTTTCTCTTGCTCCTTTTAAGATATTCTCTTTGCCATTTAAATCATAATGTGTGTTGGTGTGGGCCTCTTTGGGTTCATCTTGTTTGGGACTCTCTGTGCTTCCTGGACTTGTAAGTCTATTTCTTTCACCAGATAGAGGAAGGTTTCTGTAATTATTTCTACAAATAGATTTTCAATGTCTTGCTCTCTCTCTTTTTCTTCTGGCACCCTCATAATGCGAATGTTGGTACACCTGAAGTTGTCCCAGAGGTTCCTTACACTATCTTCATATTTTTTTTGGATTATTTTTTCTTTTTGATGTTCTGATTGGGTGTTTTTTGTTTCCTCATATTCCAAATTCTTGATTTTATTCTTGGAATCTTCTACTGTTGAATTCCTATAAATTATTCTTTATTTCAGTTAGTGTAGGCTTATTTTCTGTTTGTTCCTTTTTCAAGTCTTTGAAATTTTCAGTAAGATCCTTGAAAGGCTCACTAAGTCCCTTGAAGCTCCCATTAAGATCCTTGAGCAACCTTATAACTATTGTTTTGAACTCTGTATCTAGTAGTTTGTTTGCTTCCATTTCATTTAGTTCTTTTAGTTTTTTCTGGAGATTTTTTTCTGTTCTTTCATTTGTGACATGTTTCTTTGTCTCCACATTGTGGCTGCTTCTCTATGTTTGTTTCTATGTATTATGTAGAATTGCTTTATCTCCTGGAATTGGTAGAGTAGCCTTGTGTAGTAGGTGTCCTGTAGGGCCCAGTGGCTCAGCCTCCCCAGTCACATGAGGAGCTCTAGGTGCACTCCTATGTGAGCTGTGTGCACTATCCTATTATAGTTGAGCCTTGATTGCTGTTGGTGTCACTCGGAGGATTTAACATCCAGGCCAATTTGCTTTGAGGTTCAGTTGCTACTACAGTGGAAGAGTTGTTGTGTAGGAGACACCCGTATGGACCAGGACTTGCTTCAGTGGGGCTTTGGTACTCACTGAGTCTGCCCCTTGAGTGTATCACTTATGGATGTGTAGAGTTATTATCTGGTATTTTCTGAAGCTGCCCACTGGGTGCACTGGCCTTGGGGCCTCCAGGGAGGTGAAAAATCAACTACTACCTGGGGCCCCTCGGCAGGAGCTACAGAGGAATCTGAAGATGGCTGTTAGTTGTGTTGGGCTTGGAAGTGCTCAGGCAAGGCCAAGCTGTGAAGCAAGGTAGGCTACTGCTTGTGCTGGATCTTGCTGATGCCAGCTGCTTCTTGTTTGAGAGATTTTAGGGAAGCCTGAGCTAGGACAGATCATTCATATGGAAAAGCCACTGCAAACAGTTTGGTTGGGGCTGAAAATTGTATGGGGCAGAGTCTCAGGGACTCCTCATGGCAGAGCGAATAGTGTGAGCCAGGTTGATGGAGACTTAGCTATGGTGCCTGACAGTCAACTCTACAATGGGTGAGGTCTCAGCATAGGAACAATGATTGCTCTAAGCACCCCTGTCTGGGAGAAAGCCACCCCACAAGGTCTTGCTCTGATGCCAGACAATCTGGTTCCTTCCCATATGTCCCTGGATCCCCCCACGCTGCTGTCCAAGCATTGGAGCTCAGAGGAAGTGGAACTGTGTAAGTTTGTACACCAGCCCTTTAAGACCATGTGAAAACCACACCAGAGTCCTCAGACAGCCAAGGCCACTTAGAGTGTGAAAGGCCTTGTTGATAGTATGCCAAATGTTGATAGTATGCCAAGGCCACTCTGAACACAGCTGTAAGGCCACGCCGATCTCACTGTATTCTGCACCCTTCTATAACCCAAATGATGATGTCATTATTGGCAACTAGCCTTCTTTGTCTCTGGAGTAATATACAGATTACTGACCAGCTAGTCTGCTAGAGAGTAGGCTGGGGAGTGGGGTTACGGGGGAGGCTAGAGAGCTCAGATGGAGCTGAAAACTCAGACAGAGCTGAGAGCTGGTACTGCTCTGATGTAAGGCTAAGAGCTCATAGAGAGCTCAGATATAGCTACTAAGTTAACCAGCCAGTGTGCTGAGAGAGAAGCTTAGAGGTACTATGTGAGGCCACAGAGACCAGCCAGTGTGCTGGGCAGGGGAGAAAGGAGAAGCTACTGAGCCAGAGAGGCTGGAGAGGCTACTAAGGCTATAGCTCTAAGGGAGAGCTCAGATACCACTACGTTGTAAGGTGGTGAGTTTATAGGTAGCATGAAGCTGCTCAGATAAATAGCTGTGGGTACAGAGACTAATGCTGCTTTTGTGGGAAAGATGTATCTGTTCACCAGCTGGTGTATGGCTGCCTGCCTGTATAGGACTGCTGTAAAGAAGTCTGTTGGTTAATGGCTATATGGCCACTGGCTTCTGCAATAAAGACTCATTCTTATATATGCACAACCTCTCATGGCTTCTCCGTCTAAGACCCAGTGTGCAAGAAGACTCAACCCCAGGCAGAGGGGCTAGGACCCAACACCTGTAACTAGTGAACAGAAGATAAAGGAGGAACTTGGACTAAGTTTCAAAAGTTAGTACAATGGGCAGGGTTCAAGAAGGAACCTGCCCTGGCGTGGTCGGGAAGAATTTAGAAGAATCTATAGACAGCGGTGCTCTTGCTGTCTCTGACAGAGCAACTGCCTGGGTCTCCAGCAGCCTCCATAAATATCCTGTATTTTTAAGAAATAAATTCCTCTACCCCCAAGATGTATATTTTAGTCTCTATTTTGTTTTCAAATGAACTGAATAAAAGCTGGTGGTTTGGAACAATTATGGTAGAAAAGATACAAGTTTAGTCAACTCAGAGTTCTATAAAAATAATCCAAAAATTCTAACTATGAACACTTTCACTTCAAAAGAGCATGCAAATATTATCTCTTGCAAAGCCAAGGAAACATGATTGGTGGGTATAGCACAGTGGAAAAATACTTCTGACAGCATTCCCACAACTACTAGGGGAAATGCATGTGTGGGTGATCTACAAGGGACAATCCTCCAGAAAACGCAATTTCCCTCTGACATGTTTTTTATTATTTTCCTTTAGGAACACAGCACTGACCCCTCCAGTGAAACAGCAGCTTATTTGCAACAGTCCCATAAAACTTTAAGGAAATCTCTACTAGAGGTTCAAAACTGGAGTTTGTCTGACCCCTGCCTTTATATAGAGGGTCAAACCAAAGTAACCTCCTCTAAGGAGACTATTTGCAAGAGAAAATAGGTGTAGGCAGTGGGTTTGGGGTACACTTTCAGTTTGAATTCCCTTCATGGTTTACATGTGGAGGGATGATTTTGTCATTATGAGTTTACAATTTTCAATGTCCTGAATACCTATTTTCATTTTGGAAGCTTTGATGTTAGATGTTGAGAACCATATTGTCATGATCATCATAGAAAAACAATTAGGAAAAAATTTTAAACTATGTTAAAATATTCCATTATGGATGAATGGCAATATTGTTTCTTATGTCCATATTCTTTGTCGCTTTCTACCACCAGTCAGATTGAATTTGTTAAATTCTGTCATTAACTCCAAAGCTAACAAAAGGCTACAGTAGTTAAGCTTATTTAGTACCTCCTCTTCTGAGAGCAAATCTGTGTAGAATGTGATTTTTAAAAGCACAATATACTTTTTAAATGTCATTTCAATTTTTTGACTCTAACTCACTTAGGTTTTAAGCTTTGTCTTTTTCATTAAATATTTTTGTAAATCTCATCACCATAGTGATTTCTTATATTAAAAGAAAAATGTCCAAAAATATTCTGCTTGCTTAACACAGATCAGACATGTGTGAGAATCACTACTACTGTTTGTTATCTGAAGTAAGTAAAAAATTTCAGATTTTTAAAAAATATTAAACTATGGGTTTAAATAAAGAGAACTACAGGTAAAACAAATGTGTAAAAAAGAAAGGGTATTTTTTTTCTTCAGAAACTCACTATTTATGAAAAATCATTTCAATTTTCAGCTAGAAAAGTTATTATTTTTGCTCATCTTGCTAGCTAGCTTCCTTGAAAGAATTGCATTGAATTACTTTTCTAGGCCTGTCCAGCTGAAGTCATGGACTTATGCTCCCTCTGCTCCTCCTAGGTTGACACCACTTTGTCTCAGTTTACCGACCCGAACGTTTACTTGTGGGATGTCCACCACAGTAAGGGGCTCATTAAGGTGGACGGCCTTGTAACCAAGAGGAGGAAACCTTATTGTGTTGACTTTACTGTCATCAGGCTCCAGATCGCCCTACTCCAGGAAATGCGTGTGACACATTTCCACTTCTCGCTGGACTGGGCCCTGATCCTGCCTTTAGGTGACCAATCCCAGGTGAACCGCACGGTCCTGCACTACTATCGCTGTGTTGCCAGTGAACTCCTGCATGCCAACATAACCCCCGTTGTGGCCCTGTGGCGACCTGTGTTCCCGCACCAAGGTCTGCCGGAGCCTCTGGCCAAGCAGGGCGCCTGGGAGAATCCCAAGACGGCCCTGGCTTTTGCCGAGTATGCTAGGTTGTGCTTTAAAGATCTTGGCTCCCACGTCAAGTTTTGGATCACCATGAACGAGCCGTACACGCGGAACATGACCTACAGTGCAGGGCACAACCTGCTGAAAGCCCACGCCCTGGCTTGGCGCTTGTATGATGAGAAGTTTAGACGCTCTCAGAAAGGAAAAATATCCATAGCCTTGCAGGCTGACTGGATAGAACCAGCCTGCCCTTTTTCCCCAAAGGACAAAGAAGTGGCAGAGAGAGTTTTGGAATTTGACATTGGCTGGCTGGCAGAGCCCATTTTTGGTTCTGGGGATTATCCACGTGTGATGAGGGACTGGCTGAATCATAGAAACAATTTCCTTCTACCTTATTTCACTGAAGATGAAAAAAAACTCATACAGGGTTCCTTTGACTTTTTGGCTGTAAGCCATTACACCACCATCCTTGTAGACTGGGAAAAAGAAGATCCAATAAAATATAACGATTATCTGGAAGTGCAAGAAATGACAGACATCACATGGCTCAACTCCCCCAGTCAGGTAGCCGTAGTGCCCTGGGGCTTACGCAAGGTCCTCAGTTGGCTAAAATTGAAATATGGAGACCTCCCCATGTATATAATCTCCAATGGCATTGATGATGATCTGCAAGCAGGCCAAGACAAATTGAGGGTGTACTATATGCAGAATTATGTAAATGAAGCTCTGAAAGGTAAGGCCTCCTGAAAACTGTCTCTTGAAGGTTTTGTTACTCAAGGCATGATGCCTGTTAGAAATTCTCAAATACACAGTCACCTTCAGAGAGAAGCACTGTCCATTTCTTGCCACACTGAAAAAGTCCCACCAAGAATTAGTATTTTCCCAGAGATAAAGGAGTTTAGCTAAAAGTGGCTTACAACTTACTCTGAGCCTATAAAAGCATGGACCATCCTGTCCTCCATCCTCAGATGGCCTCACAGCAGTATGATCTGCTTCATGTATGTGAAGATTAATTCAAGTACCTTAGAGTAGGTTTCATTATGTAAAACCTACTATGTTAAATGTAGCTCATACTTTGTCTTGGTATTTGTCTATTTGTCTTTTTATAAAAGAAGACTTTTCTGATTAAATACAATTTAGTCTGAAGTTTTAATAAATGTATTGACATTTTCTCCTGAGGCACCAAGGCCATGTAAAAGTAAAGTGTTATCTGCAAAATATTTTATTAACTATTCCTTGTCCTTTTTTTTTTTTTTTCCAGCCTACATATTGGATGGGATCAACCTTTGTGGTTACTTTGTGTTTTCATTTACTGATCACACAGCTCCAAAGTTTGGCCTCTATCGTTATGCTGCCAATCAGTTTGAACCCAAACCATCCATGCAACATTATAGGAAAATTATTGACAACAATGGCTTCCCAAGTGCTGAAACTCTGAGGAGATTTTGTCCAGAAGAATTCACCCTGTGCACCGAGTGCAGCTTTTTTCATACCCAAAAGACTTTATTAGCTTTCATAGCTTTTCTACTTTTTGCTTTAATTATTTCTCTTTCTCTTATTTTTCACTACTCTAAGAAAGGCAGAGGAAATTACAAATAGTCCTGAACATTTTCCTATTCATTTATTTTGTAATAATTATTCACACACATTAGTTGTTAACCATTTGCACTTGTCAGTGTTGTGAAGCTATAGATTTCATATACTGATTTCTACAAAACCTTTCTGTGGCATATGACAAAGGTTTTCAAATAAGCCTAGATGATTATAAAATCTTGAATAATGTGAATAGTGCCTGGACTTGTTTCTCTTTGAGGGGTGATTAAAAAAAACAGACATCATTTCTACAATACACTGTGTAACAAAAGCATGAGATATGACATCCATTCTGTAATATTTAATAGAAATTTAATGATAAGTTAGGCTATTTTTATCTGTGCTCATTCCTAAAAATAATGTTTACTTAAAGTAATAATTGCAAGTGTTAGAATACAAAATTAAGTCCCAAGTAACCATCTTCCAACTACCATGATATGCCCAATGGTCTCTGTCAAGAAGATGATAGCATATAGGAGAGATGACAAAGGGCCTGTGGCTGGAACAGTTATTTAAAAAGCAGTGTTTCTGTCAAATGCTGTTAATTTACATATCTGGTTAATGATATACTTGCAAGAGCAAATTACAGAACTTTATATTTCTATGTGACTTTCAAGGCATTCTCTAAACCCTGGGTCCTTGAAGGCTTTGTGTCATAAGGGACTTTTACTGAATGCTTGCAGAAAAATAAACATGACTCATGAAATGTGGGGCTCTTCAGGAAGCATAAATCGATTGTGAAGTGCATTATACTGCAGTAGCTCCAGGAGGAGGGAAGGAGTAAAAAGTACATATTATGAGCAACATTATCATTAATTTTATTATAAACCCTTTCATTTTAACACAGACCTTGAAATGAATGAGGTGACCTTTCTTGAGAGAATAAGAACAAAATAATAATTCATCCTGTGAAGAATGACTTAACTTTCTGCTATTTAAAATGTGCCATAATTTCTCTGAGTTGAGTTTTAAGTATTAATAGATTCAAAAGCATTTGGTCTGATAACACTGGAAATTTTTCTTTTGTGATTGCTGAAGTTTAGTTTATTTGTTTATTTATTTTGCTTCTACTTCTGTGGAACTAACTTTGAATTAGTTGTGCTTTGAATTTTTACACTGAATTATGCTACTGATTTCCAGAAAGGGTTAAGTCTTATCCTCTAATACCCTTTAAATAAGTTTTGCTGATTTTCACACAGGAAAATCTATTACACTAGAGTTGTAGGTGATCTTAATGTTTATTTTATAGATGAGTCAACATTGTGCCAGGCAAGATAAACCAACATCATATCAGGCATAACTAATTTTGCTGACACAGTAATACAATGGATAAGAAATATTGTATTGTATTATGTATCATCTTTAGGGGTGGTATGATTTTTTTTATTGAAAGGTAAACTTTTGAGTTAATCTTTTAAAAATTGTACTTATTAAAAATGAAAACTAGAGAATCATAGTTTATTTTATGTATGTATTTTTCTGATTAGAAGAGTAATATATATTCATTGTAAAAAACCACAGAAACCATATGTAAAAAAAGTGCATATTTAGAGTCACATCATATTGTAAGTTATATATCTTTATTAATTTTTATTGTGTGCATTTCCTTTGTCATTTATCTTCAAAAACACCCTATTTTAATAGTCATAGAGTAATTCCACTATATAAATTTATCACAACTAATTTAATTATTCCTATTTATTGACCTAGTTTCTTATTGTTAATTACTGTTAAATAATGGATGTTACTTAAAAATTATTTTTTGCTACAAGCATTTTTTTTTCAGTGTATAGAGAAGTAATTACAGTATCTGGGTGACCAATCCCAGGTGAACTGCATGGTCGTGCACTGCAGTTATTTGATAATGGATTATAATAAACTGACCTATAACTTTACTTTCTTTCTGAACCATATGACCAGTTGCTAGATAAATTTCTTTTAAAAATTTTTTTGAGTTGTCTAAACCAAATAGAACACGATTGGAGTGGTGAGGAAATAAGCCTGACAGAAAGAGGGAGCAAACTGCAACATAGGTTGGGGAGAGTGCCCCAGGTTAATCTCTGTGGTTGAGCTGAGAAATAATTTCAGACACTGAGAAAGCAAAATAGAAGAAGAGCTGAAAATGACAAACAGACACCAAAGTACTGAGGAGAAATGACATTTCAAAATCATTCAACTGAGTGACAATGACAGACAGCATCATGCTAATTTTGAGTCACCATAGACTCTTAGTGGGAGGTCCGTGGCTCACTGCCAACCTGAAAGGAGAGAAGAGCCTCTCAGATCATGCTCATTTCTTAAGCAGCATCTCAGAGCATTACACTCCTTCTATTGATGCTCTACTCTTGGGAATTCTGGACTTTTCACCATGCCATATACAGGGAAGGGAAAACATAGGTTTACAGTTATGATGACATTCTTTTGAGTTACAAACAACTGTAAACCTACTTTTGCCTATCAATTTATACATCTATACATACTAGAGGCCTGGTGCACAAAAATTTGTGCACTCGGGTGAGGGGTTCCCTCAACCTGGCCTGTGCCCTCTCACAGTCTGGGTCCCCTTGGGGGATATCCACCTGCTGGCTTAGACCTGCCTCCCCAGGGATTGGGCCTAAGCTGGCAGTCAGACATCCCTCTGGCAGCCTGGGAGCCCTCGGGGGATGTCCACTTGCCAGTGGGGAGAAGACCT